ATGCCAGAGAAAGGAACTCCATATATTATTAAGAGCACATAAGAACTAAAAGTTTGTAAGGGATGAACCACTGTTATACCCTACTCTACCTTTGTTTATAGTTTAAAAAAAACCAACAAAATAAAAACTTTCCAATTGAGCGGAAACTTCCCATATTTATTTTCTCAACTAAACGGTGAATTTTATTTTTGCACGTTTAAGCAAAATTCACTCAGCCACTTGAATTGGCTAAGCAAGAAAAATGTTTAAACCAGAGGATCTCAAACTGGGGTTGGGACCTCTCATGGAGTCATGAGATTCTTACATACGGGGTTGTGAACTGTCAACCTGCACCCTAAACCTTGCTTTGCTTCTAGCATTTATAGTGGTGTAAAAGATATATTAAAAAAAAAGGGCGTTTTCAGTTTAAAAGGGGGAAAGGGATGAGATCACACTGTGAAAGGGCAGGCCCCGGTCCTGGCACAAATCTAACTTGGCTCCAGGAATACATAAACACTTTAGCCTGGCTCTCCCAATCTAGGGCCTCTTTACCAGGGGAAATACAGCCCTCTGGCCAAGTCTATATAGTGTAGTGCCCTTTTATTAGGGTAAATACGGCTGTCCAGCCTAGTCTACAAAGCCAGGCCTTGTTCACAGTTCTGCAGGCTCGCTTACAGGGGTTTTTGGGGAGGTAGGAGGAACTGGGCCCTCCCGCTCCACTGGGTCCCAGCCCAGGGCCCTATTAGCAATATCAGTAAACATGTCCCGTCAGCAGGGAAGTCTGCTGGAACACACCGACTGCCTGGAGATCCTTCCTCCACCCTGGGCTACTTCCTACCTCTTCCCCGTCTGTGGCGATGTCCTGGGGTCTGTGATTAAGCTTGCGGCTTGCAAGTGTCTGTACCAACAGACCTTGCTCCAGCATTGGCGGTGATGGCTGGTCGGGCTCCAGGGACGGCCATGCCAGCTCGGGATCTCTTCCCTGCACTCCTGCCCCCTCAGCTACCTCTCCTGCTGGTTTGCTTCCCCTGGTCTCAGTTGGGTGCAGGCCCAGAAAGGCAGTAGGGGCGGGGTCTGCCCTGCCTCCGGGTCCAGGTGAGCCCTTTTAGCTTTAGTCTGTTTTTGTTTGGGCAGATGATGTAAAGTGCCCCTACAAAGAATAAGCTGAGGAATGCAGGGAACAAAGGTGGCGTCATTCAGCATTTGTACCTGCTGAATTCTCAGCCAATGTGATCCCAAATAAGCTACAACAGCCTCAGGGATGATGATTGTGCTGCCTATACAACCCTTCCCAAGTCATCCCACAGCCCAGAACAGTCACAGCAAAGCTTTCTGGCTATACTTGCTCCAGGTCACACATGGCCAGGATTGCCCTGATAAGGTGCTGAGCAATGGGATCCCCCATCAAAGGAAGCTGTATGAGCCTGGCAAGTTTTTCCTCCTCTTCCCTCCCATCCCTTTTCTGTGCTATTTATTTGAAAACTGGACCCCTTAAGCTCATTCCATCTGAAGAAGCGGGTTGTGGCTATGAAAGCTCATGATACCCTCTACATGTTTTGTTAGTCTCTAAGGTGCTTCAAAACTATTGGTTATTGTTTAAGTTTTTCCAGTTAGGGTACATCTAAACTATGGTTTTTTTTCCGAAAGAGGAGATCCAAATTCTGCAGGAATTTGCATATCTTCTGATCGCTTTTTTGAAAGCGAGTCTTTCTAAAGGGAAAGTAGTCTGGACGCAGGTTTTTTTGAAAAAAAAAAAAAAAAAAACACCTTTTTTGAAAAAAACC